CCTTGACCGGAATGAAGTGAGCAGACTTAGTTAACCTATCAACAATTACCCAAATAGAATCAAACTTTCCCAATGTCTTTGGAAGACAAACCACGAAATCCATTGCAATCCTTTCCCACTTCCATTCAGGAATGGGCATTCTCTGAAGTGTTCCTCAAGGCCTTTGGTGTTCATACTTCACTTGTTGACAGTTTGGACATTTGGCAATAAAATCCACAATATCACGCTTCATTCTACTCCACCAAAAGTGTTGCTTTAGGTCACGGTACATCTTGGTTGCACCCGGATGTATCGAATACCTTGAACTATGAGCCTCTGTCAGAATAGTGTTGATCAAATCATCCACGCGGGGTACACATACACTTCCCTTAATCCTCAAAACGCCTTCCTCATCGATTGTCGTTTCTTTAGCCTCTCCTTGCAACACTTTATCTCAGATTCGGATCAATTTTTCATCATTAAATTGCTTTCCCTTAATCTTGTCAAGGAAGGAAGATCTTGCCTCCACACAAGCTAAAAATCCTCCCTTCTCATTTACTTCTAATCTCATAAGGTTGTTAGCCAGAATCTGAACTTCTCTAGCCAATGGGCGTCTAGAAGCTTGCAAGTGAGCTAGACTTCACATGCTTCCCACATTTCTACTTAAAGCATCCGCTACAACATTCACCTTCCCCGGATGACACAAAATAGTGATGTCGTAGTCCTTCAGTAGTTCCATCCATCTCCTCTGTCTCAAGTTCAACTCTTTCTGAGTAAAGACATATTGTAGGCTACGATGATCCGTATAGACCTCACACTTAAGCCCATATAAATAGTGTCTCCATTGATTTAATGCAAACGCTACCGCGGCCAATTTAAAATCATGAGTTGAATAGTTACGTTCCTGCAATAATTGTCTTGAAGCATAAGCAATCACATTCTTCTCTTGCATTAGCACTGCACCCAAAGCCGAATAGGATGCATCACAATAGACAATGAAATTCTTACCTTCCACTGGCAAGGTGAGAATTGGTGCAGTAGTCAACAGAGTCTTGATCTTCTGAAAGCTTTTCTCACACTCATCCGACCATACAAATGGAACATTTTGCTTAGTCAAGTTCGTCAGTTGGGAAGCAATAGAGGAGAATCCCTTGACAAATCGGCGGTAGTAGCTAGCTAACCCAACAAAGCTCCTTATTTCTGACACATTAGTAGGTCTTACCCAATTCTTCACTGTCTCAATCTTAGAAGGATCCACCATCACTCCATCCTTAGAAACCACGTTCCCCAAGAAGGACACTACATCTAGCCAAAACTCACACTTAGAGAACTTGGCATAAAACTTTTTCTCCCTCAACATTTCCAATACCATTCTCAAATGCTCTTCATGTTCCTCCTTACTTTTAGAGTATATCAGTATATCATCAATAAATACGATCACAAAGAGATCCAAATATGGCTTAAAAATCCCTTTTATTAAACTCATAAACGCAGCAGGGGCATTCATAAGACCAAAAGACATCA